TGAAGGCCAGAGTTCACAAGGAACATTCGGAGTTATAAATTCATACCAAGTAACATAGCAGCAACCTTTATAGCACAAACTGCAGAAGATTCAAGAAGAAATAGACAGGCCAAGCGTGGTGGCTCATGCCTGTAATCCTAGCATTTTGGGAGGCTGAGGTGGGAGGATCGCTTGAGGCCAGGAGTTCCAGACCAGCCTGAGCAAGAGCAAGACCCCGCCTCTATAAAAAATAGAAAAATTAGCCAGGCATGGCCTGCCTATAGTCTCAGCTACTCAGGAGGCTGAGGCAGGAGGATCATTTGAGCCCAGGAGTTTGAGGATGCAGTGAGCTATGATGATGCCACTGCACTCTTGGCAAAGGAGCAACACCGTATCTCAAAAAAAAAAAAAAAAAAGAAAGCAGAAACATAATCAGATACAGTGGTCCCTAACCTTTTTGGCACCAGGGACTGGTTTCATGGAAGACAATTTTTCCAAGGACAGGGGGTGCGGTGGGGGTGGGCTTTGTTTGCTTGCCCACTACTCATTTGTTGCTGTGTGGCCCGGTTCCTAATAGCCCACAGACTGGTACCAATCCTCGGCCAGGGGATTGGGGACCACAGGTTTAACATATACCACTCTCAAATGGAGAACAAAAGATAAATACAGTTCCCCTCTTATCCATGAGGGATACGTTCCAAGACCCCCAGTGGCTGCCTGAAACCACAGATAGTTTCAGCCCTATATATACTATATTTTTTCCTATACAAAGGAGGGCTGTCTAGAAAGAATCAAGCCATTGTTAATATAACGAGACTAGTTACATGGCTGAATACTTCCCAGACAGCCCTTGTACATATTATGATAAAGTTTAATTTATAAATTAGGCACAGTAAGAGATTAACAACAATAACAACTAATAAAATAGAACAGTTATAACAATATACTATAACAAAAGTTATGCAAATGTACGTGCTCTCTCTCTTTCTCTCGAAGTATTTTATCGTACTCACTTATTTGGACCACGGTTGATTTCAGGTAACCAAAACTGTGGGAAGCAAGCAAACTGTGGATAAAGGGTGACTTACTGTAAGGATATAGAAGACCCAAAAACATAATTAATAAGGTGGATCTGGATACATCGCAAACTTTGTACCCTGATAATAGAGAATATTATACTTTCTTTTCAAGACCACAAAGAACATTCACAAAATTAACTATAGATTATGTCAGAAAGCAAATGCAACAAGTTCCATAAGGTAGAAATAATACAAACTATCGTCTGATGATAGTGGAATAAAAATAGAAAATCAATAACAAAACCAAACTACAGAAAGCCTTTTTGATGGGTTTTTAAAAGCTCTTTATAAAATAACTCTTGGGTCAAAGAGGAAGTATAAACT